CTGTTACCTGACGGTGAATGTCATCACCCCATGTAGGGTCCCCTGCAGGGGTGACGGGCAGCAGTGATTCTGAACGGGAAGGACAAGGTGTCAGGCTAAGTTCACCCGCCTTTCCCTTGAGCAGGTGTTCTGCATCTCTGCCACATTTACAGGCGGACACCCTCACTCCCAAGATGATGGTATTGGGAGGGGTGACCTTGGGAGGGTGCTTGGACAGGAAGTGTGTGCTGCATAAACAGGTCCAGTGACAAAGCCTGGGGAGCTTGCTCACCCCATTCATGAAGATGCCTAAGAAGGTGCCACACTAGCAGCCAAGAGGTGGAACTTTCACAGGCATCGACTCTGCTCCAGGACTTGCCAGTTTGTCGTATTTTGTCCTAGTAGCCTCAGCAGACTCGGCCCTAAGGCCCCAGGGGACCTCAGTTTTCTGTTCTGTGTAATGGGACAAGAGCACAACATTGGCTTAGGAGAAGGACAAACATCCCAAGGGTAGCAGCCAAGAGTGGGAGCTGGTCAGGAGGCCCCTGGGTGCTCAGGAGGTGAAGACAAGCACTTCTGGTGGGAAGGGCAAGTGGGGCTCCTCCCAGCAGGTCCAAGTGACAGCCCATCATGGTGCTCCTCCCCTAGGCACCCTTTGGGGAGGACCCACATCACTAAGCTCACTTGCAGACCCTAGGAACAAGCAACGCCCCCATGGGAGAGAGGAGTTCCATGACCACCCAGCACCACTGACCAGTCGCTCAAGGCTCAGGCTGTGAGTTAGGAACACCAAGTTCAAATCCAGTCTGACATTTGCTAGACTTTACCATGTTCTGCAAAGCTCTGTGCCTCAGTTTCCCCTTCCTGTTGTAGCCCTTGACAAGCCACGTAAGCTTAGGACACGCCTGAGGAATAACTCAATATTCATGGCACCAAAAAACACCATCAAAGTCAAGGTTACAGAAAAAACAAAAACACTAGTAGCCTTCCCTACTCTGTAATTCAATAATGTTTTAATTTTGGGTCACGTAAGAGGTTTCCCCTAAAAGCTTACAGAAATTTAAAAGTTTATTTTGATGTAAAACAATAAAATAGTTTTTTTTTTTTAGTAACACGTACAGTTCTTTTTTCCTTGAACTTTGAAAACCCCTCAGATATGGGCACCATGGGAGCTTAATGTGCCAAGTTCCCATTCAGAGAACAAATATTTCTTGGGGACTAAAAATGATACTTGGTGGAAAGGTTACAAAATAAAATTGAAGATATGGAATGACAAACATAAAGAAGGACAGACAGTGAGGGGCAGCAGGTCAAGTCGCCGCTTGGGATGCCTGCATTCCCTGGCAGAGTGCTCATTTGCGTTCTGGCTGCTCAGCTTTGAATCCAACTTCCTGCTAATCCACCTGGGAGGCAGAAGATAATGTTCAAATGCCTGGGCTCCTGTCACCCACGGGGGTAACTGCATAGGTATTTGGGGAGTGAACCACTGGAGGTAATATTTCTCCTCCTTTTCATCTTTCTTTCCCTCTGCCACTGTGTCTCTGAAATAGATGAAAAATAAAGAACAAAAGGGTTCAGTGCAGTAGTCCAGTGGCTAAATCTTGCCTTGCATGCGCAGGGATCCCATATGGGTGTTGGAGAGGAAGGAGAAAAAAAGCCTTCTTTTGAGCTGCTGAACTAAACGATTCTCCACTGATCAACCCCCCTGACGTCCTGGCACCAGAGTATCATATCGGTTGAGCAACTGTAGTTGGCAGTTACGTTACCTGCAAACAGAAATACTTGCAGTGGCATGAACACCATCACTTAGTGATGTTTAACTTCCCAAAGGAGTGGACTAATCCCTTTCTAAGTGCTCTTGCACCAAGGGAGAACATAGGGGAGCTACAGGTGAGTAGAGACAGAAGCACGTTTATGGAAAATGGTGCTAAAAGTGTAAGTTTGGGCCCAGCATAGTATCCTGGTAGTAAAATTCTTGCCTTACATGTGCTGGGATCCCATACGAGTGCCAGTTTGTGTCCTGGCTGCTCCACTTCCCTTCCAGCTCCCTGCTTGTGGCCTGGAAAAGCAGTCGAGGACGGCCCAAAGCCTTGGGACCCTCCCACGTGGGAGACCGTGAAGAGGCTCTTGGCTCTTGGCTTTGGTTTGGCTCAGCTCCAGCTGTTGTTGGGGAGTGAGCCAGTTGATAGAAGATGTTTCGGTCTCCCCTTTTCTCTGTAAATCTGTCTTTCCAATTAAAAAAAATCTTTTTTTTATTATTTTTTATTTATTTTTAAAGATTTATTTATTTATTGGAAAGTCAGATATACAGAGAGGAGGAGAGACAGAGAGAAAGATCTTCCATCCGATGATTCACTCCCCAAGTGAGCGCAATGGCCGGTGCCATACCAATCTGAAGCCAGGATCCCGGAGCTCTTCCACGTCTCCCACACGGATGCAGAGTCCCAAGGCTTTGGACTGTCCTTGACTGCTTTCCCAGGCCACAAGCAGGGAGTTGGGCGGGAAGTGGAGCTGCCAGGATTAGAACCGGCGCCCATATGGGATCCTGGTGTGTTCAAGATGAGGATTTTAGCCTCTAAGCCATGCCGCCGGATCAACTCAAAAAATCTTAAATAAAAGTGTGTAAAAATGTTTTCATAATACATCTGCTAAAAAAAAAAAACTAGAATTAAAAAAATGTTTCACACCAAAATAAACCCCTATTTTACTTCCACTTTTCCATAAACTTTTTGATTTTATCATGTGTCTGTGTGATTTAACATGGTTCCTAGCTTCTTCAGTTCACTTGCAAGACAGACAAGGGCCTCCCATTCTCCGCCCTCCAACTCTGCTTCTGCCTCCAGCTTCCTGCTCACGCACAGCCCGGGAGGCAGCAGCGGTGGGTGGCTGCTTCCCCCGTGGGAGTCCTGGATGGAGTACCTGCATCCTGGCTCAGCTCTAGCCCAGCCCCGGCCAATGAAGACTTTTGGGGAGTGACACAGCAGATGGAGTCTCTCTCTCTCTCTGTGGGATATTTTTTAAAATGTAAAGTTTAGTAGGACGACAAGGCTTCGGGATACAGACTTTTCTGTTTGTTGCCATCAGCTCAGTGCTCAGGAGGCTTTGGATTTCAGAGCATTTTAGAGTTCTCGGATCTGGGCTACGCCACCCAAAGGCCAGGGATTGCTCCGTGCGCTTTAGAAGCAATAATTCACTGAATCCTCGCATCAGCCCCGAGGCAGGTGGCAGAGGAGGGCACAGGTGCAGAGAGGCTAAGCGGATTGCCCAGGGTCACTCAGCTTGTGAGCAACAGAGCTGGGCCTTAGATACAACCCTACTCTGGAATTCATGCTTTTTTTTTAAACATGTATTTATTTTTATTGGGAAGGCAAAGTTACAGAGAGAGAGAGAAAGAGAAAGATCCTCCATCTGCTGGTTCACTCCCCAAATGACCATAATTGCTGGAGCTGAGCTGATTCAAAGTCAGCAGCGTTTTCTTGGTCTCCTGCATGTGTGCAGGACCCCCAAGGACTTGAGCCTCCTCTACTTTCTCAAGCCATAAGCAGGGAGCTGGATCAGAAGTAGAACAGCTAGGACTTAAACTGGTGCCTATTTGGGATGCCAACACTGCAAGTGGAAGATGAGTCAGCTATGCCACTGTGTCAGCCCCTGGAATCCAAGCTCTTAACTGAAAGGGGACAAAGCTGGGTTCTGCTCAGTCTGGAGCAGCTTGGGGTAGACTATTAAGTAGAAAATATAAGGCTGTCACTTCTGTTCAGGAGCAGGCGAACTACCTCAGCCAGAAGAACAGTCACTTTCTAGGGAATCAGCTGGGGAAAGACATGCGGGAGACCTTTCTAGAACATTTCACATTTTGGTCTGGGCTGGGATTACACCCACTGTAGACTTATGGAAAAGCTAATTTACGAGGGACAGGTGTTTAGACTCGTGGTTAGTGTGCAACTTGTAGGAGAGGGCTTGGGTCACAACTTACTCTCCATGCTAGCTCCTGCTAATGTGAACCCAAGGGAAGCAGCAGGTGGGATGATGCCACCGTGTGGGCCAGCAGGATGCAGCTCCTGGTCCCTAGCCTGGGCCTGGCCAGCCCCTGCTGTCACACACTTAGGGGGAGTGAGCCAGCAGATGGAGGATCCCTCCTTCTTTAACTCTCAATTCCCAAAAAAATAGATTTTTAAAAAGTACTATGGTAGTATGATATAGGTTAAGCTTCTCTGATCTGAAAACTGAAATCAGAAATCTTCTGAGGATGGACATGACAATCACAAGTGGGATTTCCACATGACAAAATTTGATTTTGTGCTCAAAGTACTAAGATGGCTGGAGAAAACTCCCTGCTGTGTATAAATGTAAATGAATTTTATATTCAGGTGTGGATCTCCCCACTCCCTTCCCTCCCCACGTAGCTCATTATGCATTGGCAAATATCCCCAAATGTCAAACACTTCCGGTTGCAAGCATTTCAGATAAGGACACTCTGCCTGCAGAACACCTGAGTGTGGGTGACACACAAGGGCCTTCAAGTGCAGACAACAGGTGTTGGTACCCTAGACAATGATCTGCGAAAGGCAGGCCATTGTCCCCTTTTACAGACGAGGGAACTGAGACTGGAGAAGAAGAGACATTTGTCCATGGCCTGCTGGGAGTGGGAGATATGAGGGTGCCAACTCGGGGCTTGCTGGGTGGGACCAAACACTATGGCTTCCTTTCCCTATGGGGGGCCTGGGTGGGCCCTGGAGCAGCCATAGGGTTGACACCCCAGAGTAGGAACAGGCCCATGCCCATATTTGCCCAAGCCATTTGTCCCTTCTGCCTCAGCCAGCTCTGGCTGCTTTCTGCCTTTTTCAGTCACAGCACTCCTGTCCCCTGCGCAGTGCCTGCCAAACTTCGCATTCCTGGCAAGAAGCACTGGCAGGCTGGAGCACAGGAGGGCCCAGGGGCAGAGCAGGCCTAGCTCTCAGGAGGTGGCTCCCCAGGACAAGGGCCCTGGTAACCCCACCTCACACCCACAGGTGCCCACTCACCCTGCAGCATGCTCCTGTAGGCCGTGTCGGCGATGGCATAGATGTGGGGTGGCATCTCGTGCCTCTTTTTGCCCTTGTACATGTCCACGATCTTCTCCGAGTAGATGGGCAGCTGCTTGTAGGGGTTGATCACCACGCAGAAGAGGCCGGAGTATGTCTGCGCAAGAGAAGACCATGCTTACATCCAGACCCACTCAGTGAGGAGAGCTGGCCCACTGCAGCCTGGCAGGGACTGCGAGAGCCACAGCGTGCACCTGTTTTGCCTTGGCTCATCTCACTGGGCAACACGCTCAGTTTGGGGAAACTGAGGCACAGTCACACTGGGAACCCCAGGTACAGGGGAGAAAGAATGGGAGGCAGGACTGCATTTCTAGGCCAGTCTTATGTTGGCTGTGCAGGAAGGAAATAGTCCTGGGTTCAAATCTCGGCTCCAGACCTACACTGAGCCTTTGGGGACAGTGGCACAGCGAGTGTAGACCACACACCAGGCTGTCCTGTGGAGCTGAAGCAGCCGGCACCAAGGCCGCAGATCATCAGAACCCATTTCCCGGGGAACATCTAGGGCGGAAAAAAACCATGGAGACAGAAAATAGATTCATGGTGTCCAAGGACTGGAGAGTGGGAATGGGGTGGGAGAGAGGACTGTTCCCTACTTTCCTCGGGAGCCGGAGAGCAGGGGTAATTGTTGACAGCACGTGTGCCATGGCACTGCAGCCTTAAAATGCTTAACGACCTGCATGGTTCTGCCCTAGCATCTGAGCAGGTACATCTGACGGTAGCAAGGCTGGGAGGGCAGCCCACTCTGCGGGGTGCAGGGGCATGCCATCACTCTCACCCCCAGCCCTTCCCGTACAGGCATATTTTCCCAGTGGCTGAGGTCACTGCTCCGACCTGGCCCGCTGGGACTGTTTATTCTCCCACTGATAAGCATCAGTCCTGCCAGGGCCGCCAGCCTCTCCTCCCACCCCTCCCCCTGAGACGTGACAGACCGAGGGAAGAGGAGCACAGAGTCCACTTCTGAGCTATCCGGGGTGATGTGGCTGACCAGAGTCACCAAGCCAGACCCCAGCCGCACTGAGCCTGGCTTGGTCCACTCTCAGGTGTGAGCACCACCACCCTTGAGGCCATGCAACCACTGTCAGTGGGTCACCCACCTGCCTACTCACTCTACCCATCTGTGTTGAACGCTGTGCCAGGTGCTGGCATGACAGTGTAATACTCCAAACATGAGGTCCCTGCTCTCAGAAGGCTTCTAGTTAAGAGCTGGGGCAGATTAGAGAGAGGACAGGAACTTCCAGGACAACACATGTGATAACGGCCAGTGCACGGGCACAGGCAGTGTTCTGCACAGATGCAGGGTTGGTGGGAGGGAGAACACTTTCTAGCTTTTCACTGCTCCTCCAATAGGGGTACACTGGAGCCAACAGTAGGACTACGGAAACATCCACTGACCACATACTCAGTACCTACTGTTAGAGGTCAGAGACAAGTCCATTGGCAATCGCTGCTGCCCTCACAGAGCTTGTCCTTCATAAGGGGTCACACACACAGGTGCATTCAAGACCTTGTTTTGAAGGCAAGGAGGAGAAGGACCTGGCCCATGCTGGGAGTGGTCAGGGAAGCCTCAAGAGAAAAATGCCGCCCACACCAAACACCAAAGGGCAGGAAGGTGTGCACTGGCTACAGGCAGTCAAAGCAGGGAAGTGGCTGAGAGGGTCTGTGGGGGTGAACTACACACCTCGCTGGGGCCTTGATGGGGGAGAGAAGCAGTGGCGATGCATGAGCAAGTAGGGTCCAACTGAAGGCACCTGGCCTCTGCCGTGATGCCCCTGCCCCTACCACTAAGGTGCCGCTCAAGCACCCTGTGAGTGCCCTGAGAGCTGGGTGTCCCCCGTTGTCTTCCTTCAGCATACAGTGGGCGATATCCCATTGCTTACCCCAACACCTGGGACTGGGACGGCCTGTCTTCTTCACTTGCGTGGGGGCCCTGCTTTCCACATAACGGTGCTGTCTGTGCGCTGCCCCCAAGCCAAGGCCGCTCAGAGAGTAAATGTCCAATCAGCAGAGATCACTGCAGCCAAGGCCGACCCAGCCTCACCCCCCTTCAGGTCCCAGGGGCCACACCTGCCCCTTGTGGGCTGTGGGTATTACTTTAGCCCACCTACTCCACATCCAAGCCTTTAACCTGGATGCAGCAAAGGCAAGTGCTGAAGGGTACAGCTCTTGGCCCAAGCCTTCACATGGCTACCACCTGGCTGTGTGGCCCTGGGCAAGTCCCTCAACTTCTCAGAGCCTCAGTCATTCATACGTGTGATACAGTGGGGCAGACTAACAACCCCTTCACAGACTTGCCTTGAAATCACGCTCCCAGTGCCGTTGCACACAGCAAGCACATAATCCCTGTTTCTAGATAGATCTAAAAATGCTCCTTCCAGAGCAAGCCAGGGTGCAATGACCAAGGCCAAGGCCCTGGCAGGCAGCGGCTCCTCTCCCACAAGGCCAAGGCTGCAGGGCTCTGGGATCTGCCTGTTTCATCTCCATCGCTCAACTTTGGTTCACTCTGCCCCTGGTGTAGCCCCGCCGCAGCTGGCTGTGCTTCTGCCATCCCCAAGAGCGCCTCTCCAGCTGGTCAAGTTCAGAGGTTTCCACGTCCCCACCTCCCGTGTCCCAGCCAGCATCTTATGGGCCCAGTGCCACCAGCAGGTCCAGCCACAGGCCCAGGATTTCCCTCCTGTGACCGTATTAGGAAACAATTCAGCTTGTTCTCCAATGCTTTATATGGTCAGCTGCAGAGCCCCGAGCTGTGGAGAGAGGTAGGGAACAGGCAGGGTAGATGAAGAACATGAGGCTTAAGACATGCGAGCCTGGGAGGAATCCCAGCTCTGGCCCTTATCACCTGCCTGGCTGGTGCACCTGACCCGAGCCAAGCCTCTTCCACAAATGGATGCATCATCATACCTTCATGACTGGGCTGTACAACCATGCTGGAGCCTCCTGAATAACCACCTTAGAGACAGACACAGACCACAAACAACATTCTATGTCTCAACCAAAATAACCAAAACAGAAACAACCAAAATAGCCATCAGCAGACAGGAGTGGGCTCAATCGCTGTAGCTCATTCTGATAGCTCAAGACTGCACCTCCATCCTACAGAGCACAGGGGTCCCAACGGTGTTCAAGTCCACAGGGGCAAACAGCAAGACGCATGGCAGTGCGTGGCAGACACAGCCGTGGTGGGGGCACAGGGTGGCAGTGGGGGGCCCTGCATGTCTATGAGACCTCATCAGAGGGCTGCAGGACGCTGGGGGCCACAGTTGCTCTAAGGATGAGCAGGGGATCTGAAGAGAAGACAAAGTTCTCTCCACTCTCTCTATGCTAAGTATTTACACATACCAGCTCTTTGAAAAGTTAACTAGAGAGTTAGGAACGGACATGGACAAAGTCAAAAAGAGGGTGAAATGAAAAAGCCAGAGGTGAAATCCACAGGGAATTTTGTGACTGTGCTTTCTGGCATAGATGGGCGTTCACACCCATGACCCGTAAGTCACGTTTGTCTCTAGGACAAAGAGTTGGGGTCTAGGGACAGGGATGGGGGACTCATTTATACTTATTTTTAAATGTCCTCTTAGGGTCCTTGGGTGGAGATCCTTGGGCAAAGCCACTTCAAAGTGAGAACAAAATGGAATGAAAAGATAAATTTGAATGCAAATTTGAAATCCATGCATAGTTTTTCCGTAAGACATGGTTTCCACAGGAACTTTTGGAAGACCCACTGTCTGCATGGTTTTCAAATTTTTTGCATCAGAGAAAAATTTATTCTTTGATTCCACTTTCCAGGAGCATTCTGGCATTCTTTGAGGGTGTAATAACCTGAATGATTTTTGGGGCTAATTTTTGGAGCTCCACATGGGGCCACCTCCAGCCCCATTTCCACCCTCCAGGGCCTAGTGTGGTGACTGGCCCCTGGGGTACCTAGGACTCCTCTGCCTCCAGGGAAGATGCCTGGCCAGGCCTCTTAACAAGAAAAGAACTGTCACTTGCTGAAGCATGGCAGGAAGCATGCTCCTGACCCCTGTTCTTGTAAGAATTGGAATGGGCCACCGATCAATGCTCCTTGAGGGGTCAGTGGGTTGATTTGGGGGAGCAGGGCTTGATGGATAGGAGGGGCTGTGTCCCTCAGGACCATGCTGTTCCTAGCCCCAGGTGATGGCACAGACGTGGAAGTGCCCATCAACTTCAGAACCAAGCAGGTGAGGCATGAGTGAAGTCATTTAGGAGAGAGAAAAAAGCAGATGCAGTCATCAGTGATGTCTGCACTCAGGCCCCGGGGGGAGGGATGGGCTCACGACAAACAGATCACAGTCCCTCTAACAAGGACTGTCCCCCGATGCTGGCTCCTGAGGTGGCCACTCCTTGGCTTTCCCATGCAATGCCAGAAATGTAGTTTCTCTTCTCTCTCCTTGCTATCCCCCAACTATTTCATATATATATATATAGCAAATTAGCTCAATTCAAAGAAATCACTCCCTCTGAGCCAGCAGCTGGCATTCTCTAGCCTAGCACCTAGCGGAGGCTCAAGAAATCTTCATAAAAGGTCAGAGTCCTGCCCGCTGTGCACTGACAGCTCGCCTAGGCTAACAACAGCTTCCACAGCATCATTCCTACCTGCCCAGGGTCCTATCCCTCACGGCCCATGGGAACCCATGCCCATGGTGAGCAGTCACCCTGACCCTAGACTTGGTCTTGTCTGGATTCGCAGTCCACCCACTTCTCCATGACAGATAGGAAATCTGAGCACATCCGAGTTTCCAGGTCCTCATCGTTAAATGAAGTAGTAGTGTCTGTCTCGTAGCATCATGGAAACCACGACACAAGGTAACCGTTCAAAGTGTTGGCCCTAGGGCTGGCCTTACCAGGCTTTGAACTCCCCTGTTTCTGATCAAGTAACCCAACTTCTCTAAGCAGCAGGTATTTTTTATCTGCAAACATGGGCATACACAATGGCATATCTCTTCCATAAAGAACATTGACAATAGCAACTGTCAGCCAAAATTTCCAGCCAAGTCAATTCTGAAGCAATCATAGTAGGGGCTGTCACTGTGGGGCCTCCCAGAAAGAACTCTCACCTCCACCCAGCAAGCCTGCACAGACATCAATTGTTGCTAATTTCTCCCAAGGTTCACAGGCCCCTCAGTGCCCATCGGCAGGTGCCCAGTGCAATTGCCAGACCCCAAGTCATGGACTCGCATCAGGTGAGTTGTGTCTTTGCCTCTACTTTTTCATAAAGCAAGTGCAGGACAGGGGTTGTGCAGTGCACACATGGGCAATGGGCAGGACAGGGAATGCGTACTTCCACAGGCAGACAAGACCAGAGTCTGACGCCAGGGCTCTTCCTCTACCGGGCATGCCCTCTCTGCCTCGGTCCCCTGCTCTGCAGGGTGGGAAAGCAGCCTCCCTATTGCTGGGGGGCACAAAGAACCCAATAGGCTGAGGAGGCCTTGAGAGAAGACCCAGCAAAAGCCAGGCTCACACTTTTCATCTCCCAGCAAAAAAGAAAAAAATCCAGGGACACAGCCAACAACTGGAGAGGTCCCTGAAAAGCTCCAGGCAGAGAACACCCAAACGATGACAGCATCCATTGAGGCCAGGAGCCTTGAACCTAGAGACTTACAGCCCTGGCTCCACACGGTCTACAGCAACCTGCAGCACCCAGGTTAGCTCTAGATGCTCCAAGTCTGTGTCTCTCAGATAGGGCAACAGGTTCTTTTGCCTTCTATTGACTCTTCCAGAACCCAGAGACCAAAAGCTCTGTCAAGGCCTTCTCAAAGGCTCCACGTGGGCAGGAGGCATGCTGACCACATAGGTCAAAGTCAAGCACAGCAGGTAGCCTCAGCCATGGACTTGGCATCACCTACTACAGAGCTACTATTGAGAGTCCTCTGTTGTCTTGCCTTGGGTCTGTAGAATAACTTTCTGTCCCCTTTTGTTCTCTATCTTTCCACTATGGGATTAAACTGATCAGAAAGGAACAAGACAGCAGGAGCACATGGTGGTCACAAGGCTGTCAGGGTTTTAATCTCCTCTGTCTGGAGAAAGAGCAAGAATTTGCAGCTTTGATTTGAGGTCTAATTTCCTGGCAGAAGATTTTCGGGGTCTCGGGACTTACCCAAGCCCCTCATTTCCACCAGTCCCCCAATTTCTATTTTGAGCACCAAGTGTGTGTCAGAGGGCAATAGGTGAAGTGGACCTGTGGGCCTTCTCAGCTACCGAGTAGGAGGTGACACATCTTGGATGGGCAACCTTAGCTCCAAGAAGCCCCAACTGATGTCGAAAGTACCAACATCAACAGGTCAATGACATTTCCCAACAAGGAAGGCCCCACACAAAGCAACTTCCTCTACTCAATTAGGAAAACAAAGGTGGACTTGACCTTTATTTGGGCCTTAACTTGTCCACCCATAAAATGGGACAAGCCCACTTCACTTAATGCGGAGTTCGGAACCTGAGATAAAGCACATCAAAGTACAGGACCTGGCTTGAAGGGGCTATATCATAGACCTGAGTAGTTCCCCTACCCTCTGGGCTCTTAGAAAGCCACTACAGAAATAGCCTTGTGGTCCAGCAGGTAAGCTGCTTGCCATACCACCACCTCCTATCAGTGTGTTGGTTCAAGCCCCAGATGCTCTGCTTCCAATCTAGCTCCATGCTCAAGTGTCTAGGAAGGCAGCAGATGATGGGCCAAAGTGCCTACTGCCATGTGGAAGAGACTCACATGGGAGTTCCTGGCTCCTGGCTTCAGCCTGGCCCAGCCCTGGCTGTTGGGGCCATAAATGGGAATGCACTGGCAGATGGAAGAATGGTCTCTCATTGTCACTCTGCCTTTCAAACAACAATGCTGTAAAAATCTTTTACATAAATTTAGCATAAACATTTTTTTTAAATCCACTACAAGCTCTTCCTAAATAGCCCCAACTCAAGCAGCTAAGGGCCCCATCTCACAGGAGAGATGACACAGTCCTTACAAGGCCATCCTGGGCTGACGGTGATAGAGAAGTGCTCAGCAGGGATTTGAACTTGGGACCAAGAGAAAGCCATGACCGCCTCACAGGGCAGGCCCTCGAGCTGCCTCCTCACCAGAAGGCACAGCAAGAGCACGCCTTGTCTCTGGGTGAGCGCTGAGTTTGGGGCTTGCTCTGCTTCTTTGAATTTTCCAAAACTCCCCCCTGGAATGTGCCTGATTTTCCTAATTAGGAAAAAAATGTGCAGCACGTTCCTGCAGAAGGCAAGGGATTCTGTCTCCTTTACAGCATGGCAAAGCAGGCAGGGCGGAACTCACAGGACGCAGGGACGGAAGGGACGGTTCCGATGACCTTGAGAAGGATGTTCATGGTAGTGACCCAGTGACACAAACCAACCACACACACACATCCAGTGGTCCGTGAACCTGCCACGTTAGAGGAGGCACATCCGGCACTCCCCTCTTCCTACAGGCCCATTCTACAAGGCCCGGGCCACTCGTCTGCCCCATGACACTGGGACAGGTTCATCTGTCCAGGGGGTAAGGAGGGCCTTTTTGAAATAAAAACGACACCTAGGCTGGGCCAAGGGGCTTGACATCAGGGACCACGTGAAGGGGAGTTGGGGCAAGCCCAGCGACGACTCGAGGCCCCGAGAGTTCAGGCTGTCCATTCAACAGACCTGTGATGTTGGGAGTGGTCTAGACCAATGCAATCCAATACACACATTCTCCACAGGTGGCAGTTGTGCACATACGGTCAGCGCAGCTTAAGAAACGCATTGTTAAATGGTTATCTTAATTATCATCTCAAAGTAGCTGGCCCAGTGGCCAGGGACTATCATATTGAACAGTACAAACTCTAGTCTCTCTGACCTACACCATCCACCCAGACATGTCCAGGGTCCCCTCCGGGTAATTCCCACGTGGCTGCTCTTGTCTCCTGCCCATCCACCTGCCAGGACAGACCAGCCATTCCCAAAACGTCACGGGCACATTCCGCAGGCCCAGTGGGAGAAGGCCAAGAACGGACATCGCCAATACCTGCTGAGTGGTGTCCCTCCCCCTGCACTACGCCTGTGGGATTCCTTTCAAGTGTTCATGGAAAATGGAACAACAAGCTAAGTATGTGGGTGCCAGCTTTTAAAAAAATTGATTACATTTTCCGCAAGCTGTTGAAGACCTGTTACATGGATCACACAGACTCATCATACCTCTTCTTACTCAGCGATGGTGATTTTTCCCATTTCAAAGACAGTAATACTGAGGCTCCGAGGGGTGAGATGACTTGCTCAGTGTCACAGAAGTAGATCTGGGCTTTTTGGGTTGGGGAAAACTGGCACGGTGGCTCAACTTGCTAATCCTTCCCCTGCAAGTATGGGCACTGGTTCATGTCCTGTTTCTTCAATTTCCATTCAGCTCCCCGCTTACAGCCTGGGAAAGCAGTAGAGGATGGCCCAGGTCCTTTGGACCCTGCACCCACATGGGAGACTTAAAGAAGCTCCTGGCTCCCAGCTTCCATTTGGCTCAGCTCTGGCCATTGTGGCCATTTGCAAACGGAAGATTTCTCTGTGTTTGTTCTCTAAACCTGCCTTTTCAAGAAAAATGACTGAATGTTTAAAAAAACAACAAAAAGTAGGTGGGGCAGGGCTGAGATAGGAACCCATTCAAGAATGATTCCATCCCTCAATACACCATCTCCTCCCACAGCATCTTCAGGTCCCCAAGCTGAACCCAGACAGACTTCTAAGCCCCTCCCACTCTGACAGGTGCAGGAAACCAGGAGAGGGACCCAACAGGCCCAGGTACTCACATAGATGAGGCCCGAGAAGTACCTCTCCCTCAGGTTGTGTAGCACGGAAGCCTCATTGAGACACGTCAGTTCCGCCATGTCCTCCACCTTGGAGAACTTGGGCGGGTTCATCTTCTGGATGTCATCCTTGCCCACGGTGATCTTCTTCCCGTTCTCCACCAGCTCCACGATCACCTCATCCCCCTTCTCTTCCTTGACACTGGCAGCCTCGAAGCCCTGTTTCTCCGAAGGGACCCACACCAGCTTCTTGGCCACCCAGTCAGCCTGGGCCACTGGGCTGTTGATGAAGTTCTTGTCCACGAAGAGGAATTTCTCATCGTCGCCGAGTTGTGCCATGTTGCCTGGTTGGTCCCCTGTGGAAGAAAAGGATGGGGTCAGAACTGGGCAGCACCAAGCCTTAAACAGGAATAACTGTCACCTGGCTGCCATTTGTAGAAACAGCCCACACGAGGAGCGTGTTCCCCTGGTGGGGTTTATGTTGCCCAAGGATCGGGAAAAGGATCTGTATTGCTAAACCCAAGAAATATCCCCAGCAGCCATCCGCATGAGACTTGAGATGCAAGCATGTTATTTTCACAGTTACTAGCAAGGAAAAAGTGTGGCTGTTGGAAAATGCCCACTCCTTGTTACTGCAAGAATGATAGGTAACCTCAAATGATTACCATGGAACTTCCACTTGGTTCAAAAACTTCACTCCTGGAGATAAACTCGGCAGAAACACAATTCACATATACATGTTTAGCGCAGGTTATTTGTAAGAGCCAAAAAGCAGAAACAATCCACATTTCCAAGAATGAATAAAAGGAGAAATGAAATGTGATTTATCCATAGCATGGAATACTATTTAGTCATGAAAAGCAATGAAATGCTGACATCTGCTGGAATATGGCTGAACCTTAAAAACATAACATTCTAAGCCCAAGTAGCCACACACAAAGGATCACGCACTGTATGATACCATTTGTATAAACCGTGCAGCAAGTCTGCAGAGTTAGAAAGTAGATTACAGATTTCCAAAGCCAGAGGGTGGCATTTGGGGCAGGTACTGGGGCACAGTGGACTTAGCCGCTGCTTGGAATGCCCACGGCCCTCAGTAGATTGCCTGGTTCAAACCCTGGTCACTCCACTTCTGATCCAGCTTCCTGGTCATGTGCCTTGGAAAGCAGTCGATGGCTCGAGGGCTTGAGTCCCTCTACGCATGAGGGAGAGCCAAGCAGAATTCCAGGCTCTTGGCTTCAGCAGTAGCAGTGGGCATTTAAGGAGTGAACCAGATGACGGAAGATGTGTGCATGTATGTCTGTAATCCTCTTTGCCTTTCCCTTTCTCTGTTACTATCTTTCAAAGAAATACATCCTTTATAAAGTGACAATTAAAATGTATATGGTCTTTTGAGGGTGAAAAAGACGCTCTAAATATACTACAGTAATGAATATTCAAATCTATGAATATACTCAAGGCCTTTCAGTTACATAAATAGGTGAGCTGTATAGCACCTCAATTATGCATTTAAAAAATAGGGAACTGTAACAGAGTAGATAGAAGAGCTCATTAAAGAAATATTTAGCATCACAGGGCAGGTACTGTCCTCAAAGGCCACCAGCTAAGATGCTAGAATCCCACAACGCAATACCAGACATCAAAGCCTCTCTCAACCTCTTACCTGCAGCTTTCTGCTGATGTGAAGCCAAGAGGGGACAGGAGTAGGACAGAGGGACAGCTCCAGCCATTAGGTTCCTGCTACCCATATAGGAGACCTGAATTGAGTTCCTGCTCCTGACTTCAGCCCAACCCCATCCAAGCAGGAGCCTTTGTGGGTGGAGGTGTTCATCAGTAATTGGGAGTTTCTCTCTCTCTCTAAAATAAAAATGTCAGGGTAGCCGCTTGGCTTCGTGGTTAGGATGCTGGTTAGGACACCTACAGCCCACATAAGAATCCCTATGTTCCAGTGGTAGCTCAACTGTCAAGACCAGCCTGGAAGCAGCAGGTGTCAGCTCAAATAGTTGACCTGTCACCCAATGCAGAAGATTCAGATTGAGTTCCTGGCTCCTGGCTTCAGCCTGGATCTGGCAGATGTTTGGGGGAGGGAATCAATACATGGAAGATCTCCCTCTCTATATCTCCGTCTTCCAAATAAAAAGAAGGGGGTGGAAATTAAATGGGGGAGGGGAATTAGCTCATTCCTTGACTTGCACTTAGGAGTTCTTGGAATTTAGCCCATAAAAATAAACTGGATCCACCAACACAGGACCAAGATGTGCACCGTGGGGCAGGCTGGGACAGCAGTACCTGGCAGCACCTGGATGCCCTCCAAGGATGCCGTGCCAATCAAGGAATATCCACTACCCTGGAGGCTGTAACCTAAACAGAGCTTTAATAGGCAAATTCAACTCACAACAAAGATTTCCATTTTAACTGACTACTATTGTATCATTTATACTTGTATAAATTCACTTATCATGAAATTCTCCAAAATGTGCAATAAATAAATATATAAATAAAAACTATCCTTGTATGATACTGGGGAAATCAACATAACATTTGGAAAACTGACCAAAAAATATTCTACTGGGCCCAGGGTGGCACCCTAGTGGCTAAAATCCTCACCTTGCATGCACTAGGATCCCATATGGGCGCCAATTCATGACCCAACTACCCTACTGCCTATCTAGCTCTCTCCTCGTGGCCTGGGAAAGCAGTAGAGGATAGCCCAAACCCGGCACCCACATGGGGGACCTGTAAGAAGCTCCTGGCTTCTGGTTTCAGATCAGCTCAGTTTCAGCCATTGTGGCTACTTGGGTATTGAATCAGTGGATGGAAGATCTTTCTTTTTGTCTCTCCTTTTCTCTGTATATCTTTCCAATATAATAAATCTTTTTTAAAAAATTCGTTCTCAGGGTAACTAAATAATTGCAAAGGAGAAGTCTGGTGTAGGATTTCAAGTGGTTAACTTTTCTCTAAGTCAGGGAGCACCCTGGGGAATGATTTTCCAACCTGCCATCCAGGTGTATCCTTGAAGTCAGGTGCAGGGGCAGCAAGCCCTGCTGGGCCTAATGTGTTCCCATTCTAAACCTTGACACTGCCTGCAGGTGCTGCCCTGGTAATGCCCACCCCCACTCCTCACCTCCTCCAACCTGCTCTGGCTCTCCCCATTCACTGAGGCTGCACTCCCAGGAAAGGAGGCACTTGTTCAGTGAGGATGGATGGCCACCAGGACCGGGCTCTCTACTTCAACAGGAAAGAATTCCCAGCCCCTTTAATTTCACCAAGAACATCCTCCACAGGAAAGCAAGACACTTTCTAGCCCATGACTGAGTCCCCACAGCCCAACAGCCAACCCCAGAGCCAGGGACCTGGTGTGTGATGGGAGAAATTGGTACTCCAATGTCTACTTCTTGTAACAACAATAAAACCCAGATACTGACTGTTTGGAAGAGAAGGTGATGCTCCTCAGGGCATCCGATTAAGGAACTGATTGACTAAAAAAAAAGATGAAGGGCAGGTGTTTCGCATAGCAATTACGATACCACTGGGACCGCTACATTCTATATCAGAGTGCCCGGTTCCTACTCTGCTTCTGATCCCAGCTTCCTGCTGATGTGCACCCTGGGTGATGGCTCAAGTTATGTGGGTCTCTGCCATCCGGAGGGAGACCTGGATCAATTTTCTGATTCCCAACCTTGAGCATGGGAAAATCTCTTTCCTCCTCCTGTCAATCTTTTTGTTTTTCAAACAAATATAGAAAAACTAGTGAATCATTCTCTAAATCAGTTATCACTTTATTCAAACAGCAAAATAAAGAATTATAAAGGACACATATTACACACAATTTATTAGTGATGTATCCTGCCTTTTAACATTATTACTGAACTTGGCCTCGGATATAATAAACCAATGGGCTCCTCCTAGTACCTCTTGCTCTTACTCAGTTTAAAAAAAAAATAGTCCCTTCTACCTGGAAGAACTCCAGGTAACAAATTAAACTACAAAGACCCACTACTTCTTGCAGAGTAAGGCACTGGCTCTTGCTGGCAACTTTAATGGTACTTACATATTTTCTTCCTACATCAGCATCTGAGCGACCAGGTCTGGGTAGGGCTCAAGAACCCGCACCTCTGACAAGTTCCCAGTTGATACCAAGGACACTACCTCGGGCTTCCACCTTAAGACCCCTGACAGTGTTAGACTTTTTAAAACATTGTGGGGCCAGTGTGACAATTTAACTTCTAATCCTCTGCCTGCAATCACTGGCATCCCATAGAAGTACCAGTTCATGCCTTGGCTGCTCCACTTTCAATCCAGCTCCCTGCTTATGGGCTAGGAAAGCAACAGAGAATGGGCCAAGTGCTTGGGCTGTGCCATCCGTGTAGGAGACCCAGATAGAGTCCCAGGCTCCTATGGCTTTGGCCTAACAGTCCCAGATATTGCAGCCATGTGAACAAGCAGATGGAAGTTTTTTTTTCTCTCTCTCTCGCTCTCTCTCCCCAACCTCTCTGCCTTTGAAATTAATAAAATAAATCTTAAAAGAAGCCATCCCTTCCATAGACAATCTCAAGAAATTAAGTGGAGCTGTTAGAAATAAAGTTGTATCTGACTTCACTCCTCTTCCTAAAAACAGAGATGAACACAAAAATGCAAACAGCACCTTGGTATTTTCTATCCGAGCCTTTGCTTGCTACACTCTTTGGCATGAAGATGCTGTTGTGGCTTTTGTGTATTTACACAGACCTGACCTTTTGGGGGAGATTAGGGAATATCTAAAAGGGAAACACTGCTGGGGCTCACAGGCTGTCCTCCAGGCAGGAAGTGAACAGGCCGAAAGCTGACTGGCCCCAGGGCGACTGCTCACTGTTGACAAGGGCTGTTCTGGGTGGGACATTCCCCTTGCTCCATTTTGTGGAGACACGGAATCAAAAGGTAAGTGTACTTTGCTGCCTCCCTCACACCCAGAATGCAAGCAGGTGCTATGCTATGCCATCTCCCTCTGCGGCCTTGTGTCCAGTAGGTCTGGGGTTCTGTGATCACAAGCAGTGGACCAGATGGTACCATCAGCTTACAGCACTGCAGCCTGAGGGCTGGGTGCTTGCAGCCAGCAGCACTGTGAGCATAGGAAATTGGGGCGCCGACAGTAGATCAATCAGAATGTTTCACTCGTAAGAGGTGGCAGAGCCAGCATTTAAACTGGAGTCCGACTCTAGAACCGATTCTTCTCTCATTTGAGCTTGATAGACCATCACAGACCAGCCGGGTATTTGGAAAACGTGAATCACCCTGGGCATGCATCCTAAGAGTTAACATGGCAGGATGGACATCACACCTCCCATTGGTGCGTGCCAGGC